CACATTTGCGTCATATTTGGATATTTTACTGGACAAAGACATTAGCCTTGACTAGCACATGTCTGTCACAGAGGTAAGGAAAAAGAATGATTGTAATGCAAAAGAAATTTATCTGAAAAAGAGAATTACATTTTATAAATATTGCATTTATTGGCAATTTTATGGGGATTCTTTACGCTTGTAAAATGACAAAAAATATATATATATTTACATATAAGAAAATTCACAGTTAAGATGTGAAACCTGTTAGATCAAGTGAAGATAATTCTTGTGAGAAATCCAAATTATAAATATTTTCTTTGCAAGTGTATAAAAAAACTGTGTTGGATTTCAAAATGATGATTAATCAAATATTACAATTTTACAATTACAATTTTTATCTCCCTTCATTAAAATTAAATAATTTGTTTAATAGTAACCATTTTTTTTTTGGGGGGGGGGGGGGGTTCTGGGTTCTGAGTTCTGTTTCTCGGAATTCCATATTTGAATAATTGGTTTATGTCAGGTTATTTTTTGCAGGGATGTAATTAATTATTATAATAAAAAAAAGTTAGAAAAATTGCTTTTGAATTTGTATGAGAGGTTGACAGGGGATGCCTTTCTTCCACTGCACCAGAATCCACCTCTGGTCTTTTCAAGGATTCGTGTATGCCCTACTTTCGAATTGTAATTTTCAGTTATATTTTTTAGCTTGAGTATTGTCTGTTATCTTCACCTTTCATTTAATGAGATGAAATGATAACAATGTGTACACAAATTCTTTAACGAGATTTTTATTGTGGGGAATGAATAACATGTTGTAGAAAGAGAATCATTAATTTGGAACACATTTTTTTTTCTTACAATAACAGAGGGAAAAGTAAAGCAAAAATGAGTATGCAATGGGTATCCTTCCATTCATATCACTATAGCATATAAATGAATGGTTTAAACTCAATGCTTTGGATGGGTCTAGAATTATTTGAAAAGGGTAATGAAAGTAGCCCAGTAGAACACATGTATATATGTCCTAAAAAGTATTTCTCTTGGTGTGCAAATGATTCTAAAAAAGTATTTTTAAAGATGATTACAGGATTTTTTTCTTTAAAAAACCACAAATAAAATTGATGGAGTGATGAATTCAGAGCCGGTATGTGCAGTACATAAAGGATAAACACACGTGATATTTTGGTCAATTTAATTACAATGAAAGATTATTGAATTCTGTATTATCTACATATTGAACGGGTCTCAAGAATAGCATTGCAGCAAATTTTAATCTGACGTCTGTATTATGAAAAGGAAATTAGCGACCAATTAAAATAGTGCTATTTAAAACATAAATCACTGAAAGTAAAAGTGAAGCATCAATCATCAATTAATACAAAAGATAAAATATTCCCCTAAAATTAAAAAAAATATGATAATATGTTATTCTCTTTCACAAATAAAAGTACGAGTGGCAGAACAAGTTCTATCATTCCAAAGTCCATTTTGACACAACAGGACACAATGTTCCTCGTTCAGATTGTTATCCGGCTCGGAAGGGTGCCAGTTTGAAAACGTGATGTTTGTAAGGCGATTCCAAGTAAAAACCCCTTCGCTATCTATGTCTGTTGCCCCAATCCAACTTTTGCAGCATGTGTGCCATATAGAACAGTCGACTTGAAAAAAAAAAACAAAAAAAAAAGAAAACCATATGACGACTTGACAACAACGCTTGTCATTATCAGGGTAGACATAAGTAACCGCAATGAATAATAAACCACAGAGATTCTTGAATATTACTTTACCTATTTGAAGCCTTGCTGTTCCATTAAAAAAATATTTAGAGCATATACCATGGCAATGCTGAATTGCCAAGGGAACGCTATGTGAACTTTTTAATTCAAAATACATGGAAATCCAGATAATTTACGGAAGGATATTTTAAAACTATTTCATAGTAATATTCCAGTGCTGCTATTTAGTTGGCCTATCCTTGTTATAAGGACCATGGTTTTAAGAAACTTGTTCCCGCACCATATGAGAATGTTTGCATATAATTTTGGATATTTCTCTTATTGGTCTTTAATTGAAGAATTTTTAGGAAGGAGTAATGTTGATTTAGGTATATTTATTCAGATGCACCTTGTCTTTGGGATAAACGCATGCACAATTTTGTTCCTTATTTGTGTATTGGAGAACATGTAGCCTTGTTTTTCTTTTGTTTTGTTTTTTTTTAACATAACTTTTTTGAAAATGTGAACCTAAGTATTTCTTAGGTAAAACTGTCTACATTTTGGAAGCCATTGGCCCTTGGGTCTCGAGAAAAATTAGAAAATGTATAAAAATAGAAAATAGTCCTATAGAGGGGAACAGGTGCAATCTTTGATAAAATGGAGTCTCAACTAATTTTTTATTTGTCTAAACTCTTTTTTTACTCAAATATCATCTTTTCAAGGTTTGATTATTAATGGCTCCTTCTTCAACTTACAAAAAACTGTCCTGAAGCACAAAATTGAAATGATAAAATTTCACTTTTCAAATTTGAGCAGAATGTAGCTGAATTGGTAAACAAATTTTACTGAAATTCCAGATCGAGAGGTTTTTACTGAAAATATTTTTAAAATTTTCTATCGTCTTACCTGCATTGTTTGCAATGCCATACAACTTGCACAACTAAATGCAAATTCAGATTATAAACATTTCTCATTTCCTCAATGCAGGAATTTCATGACTACGTAGTGTGAATGCAGACTTCATGTATGTTGAATTATTATGTGTGTCAATGCAGGCATTGACGGACTCCAACGTCCGTCAATGCAGGCATTGGCTTACTATACAGTCAGTCAATGCAGGCATTAGCCGACTACTTAGTCAGTCAATGCCTGCATTGGTCAACTACACAGTCAGCCAATGCAGGCATTGGCTGACTACACAGTCTGTCAATGCAGGCATTGGCCAACACCACAGTCAGTCAATGCAGGCATTGGCCGACTACACTGTCAGTCAATGCAGGCATTGGCCGACACCACAGTCAGCCAATGCAGGCATTGGCCAACACCACAGTCAGTCAATGCAGGCATTGGCTGACACCACAGTCAGCCAATGCAGGCATTGTCAAACACCACAGTCAGTCAATGCAGGCATTGGCTGACACTACAGTCAGCCAATGCAGGCATTGGTCGACTACACAGTCAGTCAATGCAGGCCTTGGCCGACACCACAGTCAGCCAATGCAGGCATTGGTCGACTACACAGTCAGTCAATGCAGGCCTTGGCCGACACCACAGTCAGCCAATGCAGGCATTGGCCGACTACACAGTCAGTAGAATGTTGAACAATTTCAGATTCATTTGAAATTAATAAGTTAATCATATGCAGCCAAGTAATTTTTAATATTAAAGAATAATGGACACAAAAAATATCTTGTGAGTGACACTTGAGTTTTTTTTTACACTAGTTTGATATAAATTCATTTCATACATTAAAAGGATGCCAACATGAAAATGATCCTAACTGCTAAATGTCTACAAAGTACTGTATGTGCTTAGTACCTGATAAAATTCACATCATTTCACTGCGAGGAACTTGGTGATATTTCAACATGAATGAAATATTTCCGAACAAACCGTACACAAATAATCAAAAACAGAAATATCAATTGGTAGTAAAAATGGTCGAAATTTTCCTGCATTAATTATAAAGATTCCGGTCATATTAAAAGAGATGTTGCTCCTCTGTCATTTTCTTTTCCTTTGGTCTGTATTGTAAGTTAAAGCCTGTGTATACCTGGAAAAAAAAAATGCAGTGTTGGTAAAGTTATCAAGAAAATTTGATAATAATTACTTTTTAAAAAAAATTATTTACGATAATTTTTTCAAATATATTCTGACAACCATTTATTTTGACTATGTTTATGACATGGAACAGTTGGATTAACAAGTTCTGAGTATAAATTATTGTTTAAACTATAGATATTATTGGAACAGGGGTCGCATTTTTTTTCTAAGTTGGATTAATTATAATTAATATGTATTTTCAAACTTTCAAAATTAAGACAGAATATATATATCCAGGATGGTCAGAGGCAGATTATTTATTTTCTCGCCAGTGGACATTATTAATTTTCATCATTTTTAAGGACAACTTATTTTTAAAATCTGCATGGACCCTCCCCCCCCCCAATATCCCTAAAATCCCTAATATTCAAACAAACAAACAAAAAAATTAAAAAAAAAAAAAAAACTCAACCAGTGTTTTCTTCTGTGACTTTTCCACCAGATCACTGTCTTCTGTATTTCTCTGGTTTCTGGGAGTTCATTATCATTTTATAGGTACCGCAGGTCGATTTCCAGTCTCTGTTACATTCATCATAAGGAAGAGATTACGCATCAATTTCACATTTACAGTGGCAAGCCTGGTCTCCTAAAAATAAAACAAAAATATTTATAGCCTTTTCAATTCAATCTTGGTGAAGGAAAAACTTTGAAATCACATTGTATTTAGGATTTTTTTAATTTCACGGTGGTTCAATCTTTTGAACGCCTCTGTATTAAAAGTGAAAGTAACATGCGTATATTTTGAGATTGTTTATAAGTAAGTCAAAAGCAATTTTATTTATTACTGGTTAATAAAAAGACGCAAGAAAAACTAACCCATGACGAACGCATACACTCAATCATTAAAATCTGCTGATCGGAATAATGCTTGGCCTCGATGGATATACATGTACATGTACATACAGCCGTGGTAAGTAAATGCATATATTTTCACTAAGATACACATAGATAAAAGAAAATGAAATTCCGTCCTTTCTTTGCTTGTATTTTAACGGTCTTCTACAACTACTAACGTTTCGCGGATTTTAGGCCTAGTTTCTGTTTGAACACGGTTGAATTCAATGTACGTGACGTCATAAAGGCACGTTGTGTTGCTCTCAACAGTTATTTGAAGATTGATCATTCACTCAAGTAACAAAGATGTGGGCGATTACAAAAATTTGGAATTATCATTATGCAGTGAAAAACAACACCCAGATGTGTTTTTTTTTCTTGAAGCAAAGCTCTGTCCTCCATCTACACGTACGAAATCCAACCTAGTTCCAAGACTTCTTGATTGTAAGTAATACATGCATCTCAGTAAATGTGTATATAAATATATATATATATTTGTGTTTATTTGACAAATGCTTATTTCAAAATAACTACTGTATTTCCGAAGTAATTTCTTAAAGGTGTTAAAGGTTATTTTTAGGATTCGGGATTTTCCAATGTTTAGATGTATGGCTTCTGTCGAAAGTACATGTATGTAAATCGTACAGTGTTCGTTTTCTTGTGCAGAAAAAAAAAATGTTCGATTTCTTACGTAGAGGAAAGAATAGTTGTTTTCAATTTCTTACGTAGAAAAAATATGGGAATAAATTAGGCTATGGCTAGTTTTAACTTTGAACTCAGTGTGTGATTTTTGAAATTTGCAATACTTTTTTTTTTTTTTTTTTTTTTTTTTTTTTGCCATTTTTGAACCACTCCTGGGGCCATGTGATAGCGATAGGTGACATAAACATACCTTGTGAGTGTATACAAAACTTGCAAGTGTATTATTTTTCTAAATACACAGATTCCATTTTTAAAGAATTTACCCCCCCCCCTCTCTCTCATATAGGCTATCTAAATGAAAACAAACCTCATGCATATTCATTTTAACTGCAAACATGTATTTTTCCATGGGGTTATAATTCCGTGGAATCACAATTTCTGCTCAATCCACGGGAAGAAAATTACTTGGATTTCTTAAATTGCCACTATACACCTTGAATATACGAACCTGAGTTGTCCCAGTTTCTTTGGACCTTATTATATTAATGATCAGAATTAACAAATATTTTTTTTTAATTTTCCACAGCAATTATATTTGAAGATGGAAATGAAGAAAAGGTTTGCATCAAGGAACGACTTTGGGGCTAAAAGGACCTCTGTAAAAAGTTTTATGCAGCCAGAAGATTGTGTTGATGCTGTGAACGACTATTGGTTAGTGAATCTAAAATGCATGTAAATAGTTTTTGAAGGAAAAAAATGCATGCAGTGGTAAACTTTGCAAATTCCATGTTTATTTTATCTAGGGATTCTTAAATACATGTCTATTTTTTTTTCTTAGCAGATTTGAAAGTGGTGAGTGAACACACAGATGGAATCTAGGGCTACACTACATTCTGTGATTTTTTTTTGGGAGATCTGAGCCTATCGGAATGGTGGCTAAGAACCATACCGTTAGGTTCTGTATTTTCAATATTCAATATTGTGACTTATCTGGTTGCTTGATTTCAATTTTATTTAAATTAGAAATATTTGATAGTTATTATTTATTACAAGATTTTCACTGTTATCATTGAGTCATGAGTATTTTGTGTATCGAACTCCGAATTTATTTTTCAGGTGAAGTACTGAGAACTGCACAGAAACATAAACATACAGTAAATGCAGAAGGAATCAGGAAGACAATGTTCCGGCAATGCAATAAGATTGTCCAAAACTTTTTTTTTTTTTTAAATCTTACTTTAAAATTACATCGTTTCATTTCAGCTCAGATTTCTGCTTATTCTTTTTTTTCAATATAAAAATAAAAGTTAAAATTGTTGTTATATATGATCTTGCAAGTTGTCAATGTAAGTAAACACAAGGGAAAAGGATCTTATAAGAACCTTCATCATTAAATGATTTCTGCACATCTGCATTAAAAACAAGGTCTGACAAGGACGATATATATATTTTTGAAAGGAACAGATTACTTGGAAGAGTCGCCTGCATTGGACTTTGAGAGAGTCGTACAATGCCTGCATTGGCTCTTCTGAGAGTCGCCTAATGCCTGCATTGGACTTTGAGAGAGTCGTACAATGCCTGTATTGGCTCTTACGAGAGTCACCCAATGCCTGCATTGGACCTTGAGAAGTCGTCTAATGCCTGCATTGGCTCTTATGAGAGAGTCTCCCAATGCCTGCATTGGACCTTGAGAGACTCTTCCAATGCCTGCATTGAACCTTGAGAGAGTCTCTCAATGCCTGCATTGGCTCTAATGAGAGTCGCCCAATGCCTGCATTGGATTTTGAGATAGTCGTATAATGTCCGCATTGATCAACCCTTTAGAGAGTCAGGCAATGCCTGCATTGCCTATTGAGTGAAAAGAGAGTCTCAATGCCTGCATTGGCCCTTTAGATATTCGTGCAATGCCTGCATTGGCCAACGATGAACAAATTCCCTTGACGGATTGTCATGAAATTCTTGCATTGGCTTTACTATAAAAAGATTTTAAATTTTTTTTAGACATTGGTGATTCTTAGCGGGAATTTACAAATAATATTTCATTTTCGTAATAATCGTCACTGCATTACAAGTTTATTTATTTTCCAAGTGTTCAAATAGATTTTGTATTCCTTTAACGCTAAATTGCATTAGTCTATTACATTTAGAACAATTTCAATTGCATATGTGATTAAGATAAAATTCAAATCAGAATGAGAAGAAAATTGCAAAATATTGAATGAACACATAGTCAATATTTCCGTAAAGACTTTTATCACGTGAATTTGGAAATGACCAATTTAAACCATAAAATGTGTTTCGGGATACTTTTGTAATCAATAACAACTTCCTTCATAAATTCGTTAAATTACATTCACTCTTGTAGTAGAAGCCAAGATTTCTTTCCACATTACCTAAAACATTGATCTTAAATTAAAAAAAAAAAATAATTAAGACAAATAAAATTTAGTTGAGACTCCATTATAAGTAAAGCTTATAAAGTTGAAATATATACATTGTAAGTTACATTCACATTGAACTCTAAAGTAAATAGCCACAAAATTTCTTGTTTATCATCAATAGAACGAAAGATAATTATCAAATTTTTTTTTTTTTTTTTTTTTTTTTTGATTGAAAGTAGATTGACGAGTATAATTTGATGTAATAGGTATAATATATTTGATACTAATACAATGATAATTGATATATTAATAGCGATTCTCTGTAACCACTTAAATTTCTTTGCCACGCATGGTCACCAATTTTGATGAAACTTTGCCCAATATTACAACTTGACACCAGAAACTATATGAAATGAAATTTTGCTGCTATGTGTCTTGGTTGCCATGGTAACAGCCAGCAAAGTTGGAAAAATTGAGATTTTCAGGTAATTTGAATCTTTATTAAGCCTTAATAAAGACTAAGAAAAACAAAAAAAAAAAACATTCTCACAAAAAAAAATGACACCTTGTTGCCACTTATGCTATAAAGAAACTATTTAGAATTATCTCTAAGTAAATGGTAACCATGGGTACATTTGGAATATATTTTAGATGCTGAAAAATGCTTAAAATGCTCAATATTCACTTATGATAAGTGTTACATGATCAAACTCAATCAACAACCTAAGAAAAACAATAGAAATATTTTACCTTAAGTAATTAGGTATTGGCAATATTATTCTTAAAATAACTCTCATGGTTACCATGGTAACACAGTGTAACCATGCAAAATCTGTTGCTAAGATTGGGTTAATACTACTATCTTGAGGAAAAACAATAACACTCATGACTAGCACATGTACATACTTAGCACCTTGCAACACTGATAACTTAAGAAAAAATGGGATTAATTGTTACTTTGCAGTGTAACCATGGAAACAATGTACCAGTAGTTTAAAGTGATATTTTTTTGCTGCCTTAGGAATTTACTAACCTTTAATTTAACAAACATATTATTTGACTCACCTTGAATAGCACTTATCTGGTAAAACTAAAGTTGACTATCATATATTGATAAAGTTTGTTAAAAACTACAACACTGTTGCTATGGTGATTGAGAGGGAAATTTGTTTGATTTTGTTAATTTTATATCAATATTAAACCCTATGTGCTAGCTTTTTGCATCCAGTTAGAGATTGGGTGGAAGTCATATTAAAAGTCAGGTTAGTTCTTCATAATCGTCAATCACAAAAGTTGTGAGATTCTACATACAAGGGTACGTATCCAAGGAAACAGAATATTTTTCAGATTTTTATACATATTTCTTCGGCTAATTTCCATAACAACGCTCTATTGAAAGAATTGAATTTGAATTTTTTTAAATGTGAAAATAAGGGTCACATTTGCACCTTTAAAAATTGATCATCAGTTATATAGAAATAAACTTTCTATAAAGATAGGATAAAAAATACACTAAGAGAGTGAATTTAAAATCCCTTCGTGGTATTAAAACCATGGCAACCATTGTCAACCTATAAGAAATATCATATTTCGTCCTTGGTATATGTTACAAAGATCTTTTGTCTATTATTTGCTTGTATTTCAACGTTTAATTGTTTTTATTCTTATGTGTATGACTTTATAAAATTAAATGAACAAAATTATTACTTTTGAAAAGTTTGTTTCCATAGTAACGTATGTAATAGTTAATTTACCAAACATGTTTATCATGCATTTAAGACATCAGACCTTCAACTTTCAGAAAAAGTCATTGCCAATTGTTTGCTTTGCTGCAAACGTTAGCTGGGGGACTCTGAACATGTTGAAAAATGCCATTTTTCAAACTTTAGGACATATTGTCAGGTAACCATGGCACATAGCAACCAATTTTTGATTGATTTGATTCTATGGCATCAAAGACTTTTATCATAGAGAGTATGGAGGAATTCTGAGACTATGCGTGCCACAGCTCTAATATAAAAGTTCGTCATTACAGGGAATGACTCTTAATAATTATCTTTGTCAGATAAGTTCATACTTCAAATACAAAGATTATCCAAAAAATTACAGTTTTGACAACAGGGAGCAGATAAAAATTTAGACTACTGTAACCTATATATTCTACTTCAAAGTATCTTACCATCACTCCAGGGAGGGAGAAAAGCTTCCGTGAGCCATAAATTTTCTGCTGGTGTGGCTATCTCAACAAGATGAGCTCCATATCGTTCGCATTCTTCCTATGATGATTTTAAATGCATCATTTCTTATATTGATAAGTAAAATTGCCTTGTTGTCAAGGAACAGAATGGTTCGAAATAAATGTAGTAATAAAATGATAATGTTAAGAGAGAATTACAAATTAATGGCATTAAGAAAAGATTTAAGATTGAAGTGCATAGCCTTATCTATTTTTGTAATCCAAGTAAAGGCTTCATCTTTCCATCTTTTTTAAAGGAACACAAATCAAAAGAATTAAAATGAATAAAAAAATAAATAAATAAGAGAATAAATGAATAAATTTTTAGAAAACTACATCTAAATTTCAATACATATTCCTATTGTTTTTTATTAATTAATTTATTTCATTTATTATTTTTCTATTATTATTTTATTTATTATTACATGTATTTTTAAATGTATATTTTCTCAAAATTGATAGGAAGCAGATAATTTCTTTCTTATGAGCATGATACTTATCTTGGTAAATTAAGAACTGTTCCAACTCTGGTTATACAGAATAACTCGAAGAGCTATCAAATTCCTTTTTTTTTCAAAGGTTTATAGATATTTTACCTTGGAATCGTTCCAGGTTTTCTTAGACGTGCTCAGAAAATAGCAATGGCCTTCAAAAGGTTCCCAGCCAATGGGGCAAACTGAAAAAGAAAATGAGTCCTAAACCGGTCTCGCAAGTGACAGAAAACGTTTTTTAACCCTTATTTACTCAGCTGTTTAGTCTGCATTTATATTTTTATTTAGTTTCCCTGCTACATGCAGCACTTCGGATGAAAAGGTCTTTACCTAAACGCTGACTGGCATTAATATTTGTATAATCGACACGATAGATCAGACGGTAGAGCTCGCTCCGTTGTTGAAAGGCTATTTGAACCCCGGCAGAGAAAAATCTAATCGGATAAAAATAGGTAGAGGTGTTTCCCCGCAGAGCAATCACCACTACTCAAGTGAAAGATGCGTTCCTTGAGAATTTTAAAGCTGAGTTCTGTTCCGTGCCACGACAGTTGTTGGCTCTTTAAAGAACCCTTACTTTTCTATGGTCCATAGTGTCGAGTATTGGTCTAAATTTGAAGCCCTTCGTCGATATCTGATGACGTCTCATTCAAATCTTTCAATGACAAACAATCAATCGATCATTCAGATATGGCTTGGAATTTATTTCATAGCATCGTACCTTCAATCACAAATGTTTTAAGTACACCTATAAGTGTATGAATTTAATAGCTCCTTCACGATTACGTTTCA